AGGAGCCGCAGTGCATACATAGACGTGCTTTAAGCTATCGCTGAAGAAAGTTGAGGTTCCACTATAAAATCAATTGGTAATATTAGGAGTAGCTCAATCTCTTATAAGCCCATGCAAGGTCCATCCTCCCATCAATGTGGGACTCATTCTCAACAAGCCCCCTCAAGTGTGGTGAATTTTCAAGCCTAACACATGGACAATACAACGGAGTGATGTGGAGTGCGTGTGGCCATTTGGCTTTATACGTGGGACAACCTTCTTTGATACCATGAAGAAAGTTGAGGTTCCACCATAAAACCAATTGACAATATGAGAAGTAGTCCAACCTCTTATAAATTCATGCAAGGTCCATCCTCGTATCAATGTGGGACTTATTCTCAACAATCTTGTCAAGTTTGATCATTCAGAAGTTCACCATGTCACCTTCTCTACGTATGTAAAGCTTATCTGTTTTGATTGCATAAATTGATAAAGTCCATAATATAAAATATTTTATGCACTTTTTATTTTTTATGAAGAAATTGTGTTTACGTATTCTTCTGCCGACAATCCTACATGTATGAAATTAATGAATCAATAGTTAGGATTCTCATTTAGTTGGCAAGGGCTAAGATGAGTGGCTTAAATTATAATATGTCAGGAAAAGATAGTGATTTGAGCCAAGGGAGACAAAGTTGTCCCCTATGTATAGGACATGTGAATACAAAGGTAAAAATAAACTAAAACAAAATTAAAAGAAAAAGGAACATTTATATACATATTCTCGGGTAAGGATGTTTGGTCTCCTTGTGATCTTGGTAATAGTAGAATGAGATATAAATTAATCAGTAATTATTTTTAAGCAAAAAAAAAAAGGGTTGTATTAAAAAAAGCTTTGAGAACACCCAAGACCTCTATAATGAAATAGAAAAGCATTTTTTGCTTGGGATTTTAAGCAAGAAGGCCGTGCATGGTTGAGTCCTCGAGTGTGAGCAGATGGGTAAATAGGAAAGGGAAATGGTAGAGAAATCATGTTTTAAGACTACATGATTTAAGTAGATGATTTCTTTGATGAAGTTGGGGTTTTACCATAAATCCAATTGACAATATGAGGAATAGCCCAGTTTACTTATAAGCCCATGCAAGGTCCCCCTCCATCAATGAAATATTTATTTTCAACACGCCCTCTCACGCATGACAAATTTTCAAGCTAAACTTGTGGACAACATAAATATGGTAACGTGGAGTGCGTGTGACATTGGACTTTACACGGGAAACAATATACTCTGATACTATTAAGAAGTTGGGGCTCCACCATAAAAAATTGAACTTACTTATAAACCCATGTAATGTCCTCTCATTAATGTAGAATTCATTCTCAACACTTCCCTAGCATCGATTATCCATAAAAAAAAGTGCTTCAGTTGATAAGAAGGTGAGTTTACAAAACCATCTGCTTTCATTCATTTATTTAAAGAAACGGCAAAGATCTTGCATGGTGACAATGCATGGCATACAAAGCATATATAAAAATGGAATTGTCAATTTTACCCTTCAAACATCTCATGTCATGTCCTAAATCCAAACCTTCCCATGTTGAAGCTAGCGGATACTTCATGCACTATCCAAATATGTGTGAGAGAGAGAGAGAGAGAGCATGTGTGCATGAGATGTAATGGAAAGAGGGGGTGGTCCAAAAGGATCAATGTAGTGGTCGGGTTTTGGTCTCCCCTACAAAGGGTAGGATATTGATTTTGTGATAAATGCTCTTACTTGTAGTTCAATTTGTGTTTAATCTAGCAGTATGGTAGTAAATTTTATGTAACCCTAATTTGGCCACAAAAGTAATCTAATAATTAAGATATGCAAATCAACTTTACCATCCATTCATATATCATATAATGTAAATTGATTACATTAATTAGAACTAAGGTTACAATCATTAATCTCTAAACCCTAAAGCTTAACCACACTCGACTTTGTGTATTTGACTTTTTTCTTTAGTTTAGCACAAGTAAATAGCTAGCAAGTCACGACTGAATTTCAAGGTTGCAGCGCGCAGAGAGAGAGAGAGAGAGAGAGAGAGAGGTGGTCAAAGTGTTATTGAAAGGTCGTTTCAATCACAGTTTATTCATCAGAAACAAGGGTCTGCATCACTGTTGGAGGTATCAGTTTGCATACTACTAAGCACAACCAGTACGCCTTGGACTCCACCTTCTTGCGTTTTCAGCCTGTGGCTGACCTAGCATTTAACCATCCTCTCTCTCTCTCAACAAATTAAGCTGACCTAGCATTTAACCATCCTCTCTCTCTCTCAACAAATTAAGCTGACCTAGCATTTACCCATCCTCTCTCTCTCTCAACAAATTAAGCTGCCAACAAGATCCATCTATTCCAATATCATTTTCCTTTTTCCCTTCTCCCTTTTCTGTTTTGTTATATCAAATATCTATATATGTATCAGTGTTTTAAAAAACTCATCTCAAGGCACGCCTAGGCGGCTTTGGAGGCAAGGCTGCACCATTTTCACCTTTGGTTTAAGGGAGTCGGCGAAATACACGCCTAGGAGTGCCTGAGGCATCAATTTGGCGTTCCTTTTTTTTTAAGTTTCAAAAATCTGGAAATTTTTTAGAGTTGCAGAACTGTTTGAAGTTGCAGGCCATGAACACCAAAAGGAGATGAAGAAGATGAAAAAGACGGCTAGGTTTTTTAGGCTGAGTTGGTGTTTTTAATTTTTTTTTCTTTTTTTAATGCTTAAACCGACCCCACTTTGCCACATTTATTACCCAATTATCTTCACTTTTTTTTAAACTAATCACACTTTAAAGACATTTATTACCCACTATCTCTTTTCTCTTCACTTTTTAGTGGGGTGTGCTATCCACACATCACTTTTTACTTTTCACACACTCCTTTTTAATTTATGTTCTTTGATTTTCTTCAATTCATCCGATCTGACGGCTGAAAATTAGAAGGGTGTGTGAGAAGTAAAAAAGGGTGTGTGGATATCACACCCCCTTTTTATTTCTAATATTTATTTTCTCATATACTAGATATATATATATATATATATATATATATATATATATATATATATATATATATATATATATATTAGATAAGCATTGTTTTGTTTTTGTTTTTATTATTTTCCTGAATATTCTCATGATTAGCCGTAGAATAGAAAACATCTTTTTATTTGGATTATTATTTTCTTAATGTTATATTATTCGTTTTTAAGAAATTCATTATATTTTTTCCCTTATTTTTTTTAAGACTACCTATCCCACCCAAATATTATCCAAAACTCTCATATAAATAGGCACTTACTTAAGTAGATTTTTGAAATTGATTAATTTGATTGCTTGATTAAACTTGGTTACATGAGTTAAACTTGTTTGTGACTATTATATTTTTATATGTATAAAATATGTATTAAAAAATTAGGTCTAGCCTCATGCCTTAAAGTTTTCGCTTAGGTGGGGCTATCCATCAAATACCTCGCTCACGTCTTTGACTTTTAAAACATTGATATGTATGTATACATATATCTCCATAGATTTATAGGTTTTTTTATGCGCTTATTTTTTTTTTTTGGAACTTTAACGAAAAGTTTCCTATACTGTTCATTTTAACTAAAAATCACATTTTTACACTAAAAGGTCAATCATGGCACTATTTACTTTATCATTTATTTTATCATTATTATTAAAACTTAAAGTTTTCAAGTAATTTTTATTAGTTTTTTTTTTTTTTTTTTCCCATCTCTCTAAAAGCTAATCATTTCCTTTGAATTTCCCAAGCAATATAGTGAATCTCAAATGGTACATGTTCCATCCATCAACTATCTCTCTCTCTCTCTCTCTCTCTCTCTCCCCACTAACAAAGCAAAAGGGCATCGTATGCATCACCAACAAAAAGCTGATCCATGTTATTTGCAGCAGGAGATGAAAAGCCTATTTCAACTACATATGGAACAAAATATACCCCAACCCTTGTCTTGCTTTCCTTTATATTTGCCTTTATATTGCCACCATTTCAGACACGAACTCGTCCTATATTGATGCAATATTTGAAAAAGATTAGGTACTAATATTGTTTTCTTTATTCATTTATAACTAATCAAAGATTGCATAATCTCCTAATTTATGCTTCGAATATGCACAATTTAGGCACAAATAAAACTGATGGGTATGACCGTAAGAGTAAGTTAGGTCCTAAACACTTTAGTGTAATAGAAAAATTTGATAATACGTTTATTTATATATCCACTTAAATGCCTAACGTCCTCGTCAAGGACATGATTAAAATTGCTGTTTTCTAGTGCTCAAGTTCCTTCTAACTACACAACTAAAATTGGCTCTAGATTAACTTGGCACATAAGAATTATAATCTACAGATGGTCATCTTATTTCAAAGATTCTTCTCTTCTTATTGACCATCTCTCTCTCTCTCTCTCTCTCCATCCCCATATACGTGGCAAGGGAGATGCATTTATAGATATGTACGCAGATGATGTATAAGTCGAACGAAAATGCTATGAGAGCACACTGATATTTAAAAATTTAATAAAAACCTGTTTAACTATTAGTTGTTCATTCAGTGTGTGTATATATATATATTCACATAGTTTCCCAGTCAAACCGATGACTTTTTGATATTGTTTCTCATCATGAGGTTCACTAAAGTAGTGGTTAAATGGTTAAAGATTTGTACCACATCAGTAAGGACATAAATTTTTTTTTACAAAGATATATTAGTTTAATTTATGTTACGACGAGGGGCAGAGTTTAAATGTAGGTTACAATGGGTTGAACAAGAAGCTTTATCCAACACATGTAATACACCAGTTCTCTCAAACAAACAAATAAGGAACAAAATTATAAATGAAGCAGCCATTAACATTAATTGTTAGGACAATGGACTCACAGAAATTACTAGTTAACGTGGAAAGTGATTTAGATCCTACAATAATGCTGATAGAGAACTAAATAAGAGCAGTGCAAAAAAGTAGAAAAAAATAGGAAGAAAAAGGTGGCTTTCCAAGTAAATGATATGCTTACATATAGCTCTCACTCAGAAAACCATGGCTATGTCAATAGCTCTCCCTCTCTAAGTTCATATGCTAATATTTGACTCATTAACAATTAATTAATGTTCTTAATTTTCTTCCAAGTTATTATTGCTGCATGGACTCATTGTCTTGCTCTACTTCAGAAGCAGGTTCATCTTCCTCTTCAAAGCCATTAAATCCATAAGCTGCATGCCCATTCCCAAAAGCCTTAATATGATCTTTAAGAGATCTCTTGTGCTTAAAATCAGAGCCACAAATGCAAAACCAAAGCTTGCCACAATTCTTCTCATGGGTTCTCCAATCCCCCCTCACCGCAAACGCCTTGCCACATTTTCTACACATGAAATGCTTGATTCCATGTTTCCTCTTGTAATGTGTTTGAAGTGTTCTGAAGTCTTTCAGCGGCTTTGCTCTTGGGTGATCGATGTTATTCCTGCAACCTGGTGTACAACAATAGCAAGGAAGCCTAAGCATTCCTGTTGGTTGAGTGCCTCTCAAAGATTCAGGCCCTTTTCTATATTGAGATCCATGCCCCCACATATGCATCTACAAATATACAGGGATCACGACCAAAAAATTAGGGAAGTGAAAAATTAGTACTCGGTGAATTATTGACCACGCATATACACTACAAATGAATTAAAAGAAACAAAAATAACTAAATTGCTTGCCCTTGCAGAATTTAAGCCTGTGATATGACTTCTAATAAGTTAGTCATGTGTTGTTGGTGAATTCCAGGATTAACTATGAGAGTGTTAGCTATTCATAATTTCAGTTCTACACATGAAAGAAAAATTGTAACAATCTGCTCATTAAAGGTTTGGGAATTAAAATTTTAGGCTTTGCACATAGGCTTTGTTAATTGTCACAATGAACACAAAGAGTGGATGTTTTATTACTTTGGAGGGATATGAATCTGCTATTATATTTCCAATGTTTTGCCTATTACTTAACTAGTTTGTTATTAAGTAATAATAAAAAGAAACAAATGTTTAACTTACGAGTTTGAAAATTTGTAGATATAGAGTTTGTTTTTTTCAAAAGAAAACAAACCCACAACGGGTAATGAAGGATTAAGCGAGCAGAACACACATCCCATCCCCCCAACATCAGCGCCAGTCAAGATTCATTAGATAATATAGAGTTTGATATTACTATGTATGGGGTTTTTTATGACAAAAAACTGTTTTGTTGCAGACTGAAGGTCCACATAGAGAAATTAATCTGTTACTGGAATAATGTCATGACCTGGCCCCTTCGAACACTGCAAGATTTTTCAGCTCCTGCCAGTATATGTTCGAGCACAGACTCCAAAGTACTAAAGGCATAAGGAACATTGCCTGTGTTGTTCAATCACATAAAGGGGGAGGTACTGGTCATAGCCTCAGTTGAATCAGAAAGATTTACTCAGCCCCAATTCCCAGAACCATGCATAAAAAAAAGGTAGATGATACTTAAAGTTTTTTTAGATGTAAAATATGAAAATATAAAAATAAAAAAGAAAAAGGCTCCAATCTAATTTTTCCCTTTATAAGTCCAAGCATAGGATGATACTTAAGGCAAAAAAATTAAAGAAAAAAAAAGCTGAGCACATTATTTGACTGATTTTTGTCCTTAAATTATGGGAGGATAAAGAAAGGAGAAGAAAAACAAAGAGAGAAGAAAAACCTGATCGAAAATAAAAAATATGGAGAGAGAGAGAGAGAGAGAGAGAGAGAGAGGAGAAAAGGGAGAATGGCTTTTGGAGGCATGGTTTTGCAGGTGAATCAAGAAATTTTCTTGAATAATTTACTTTTAAACTATTATTGGTTAAAGAAATTGAGATTTACCTGCATGTTGTTGTATCTGTTGAAGGTCTTGTAGCAAACAGGGCAAGAAAACTGGGTAGGACCTATGAGAATCTGAGAAGGGGTAGGGATCCAGTACTGACCCTTGTTCAGCCTGCAAGTCATGGGGTACCCTGCAGAATCATTGCTCATCTCTGACGAGGAAGAATTAGCAGCAGCAGAAAGCACAGAAGCCATTTCAGAATCGCTAGGGTTTGGCAACCCTATGTGCAGTGCAACAGTCACACTCTCATCGTCTTCACCGTCACCATCTTCCTCATCTTGTTGATCTTTAAAGTGGTGATGATCTTCATGAAGATGTTGTTGTTGTTGATCTTCGGGATCGTAGTGCTGGTTGGTTGGGCTCAGGCGGCTGAGGAGGGGGAGGGCTTCTCTGAGAGGAGGGGAAGGAGGCCTGGTGTTAAGGTTTTGTTGGTCGGTGAGGAAATAAAAGGAGTGGGTTTGGTTGAGGAAGAAGTTGTGAGCATATGGAGGAGGAGGTTGTGAAGGATGAGGAGGCGGCTGAGGTGGTGGTTCATGGTGACGATGAAGAGGGTTGAATTTTAACAGACCTGAGAAGAAATTTGATGAGTAGGGGTAGTCAGCCATGGTTAATTAAAAATTGTAGTACACTACTGTATAAGAGTAGGGGAATACTTTTGCTGGGGTGACCTTGCTTTTGAGAGAGAGAGAGAGAGAGAGAGAGTACAAGATGACTGAAGGGAGTGGACGGTGGAGAGCCAAGTTATTAAAGTAGTACAACAGAGTGAAAGAAGTAGTAAAGGCAAGGGAAAACCAGAAAGGATAATGCTAGGTAGACTAATATTTAGATTAAACTTACATATGTAATATGTCAGTATTAGAAAATATTGAGGTTAATTAGCATTTAAGTAATCATTCAAATCAACAATTACGTCATATAATTTACAAATATAATTTAAATAGACGGTCTTCCTAACATTACCCATAAAACAAAAAATACAACCCAAAAATAAATGATTAACAACAACAACAACAATCAATCTAATTCATTTTCATTAAAAAGGAATCTAGTTCTATTTGATTGATTTTGTACACAAAAGTAAATGTAGAATCTAGGATAATACCGTTAATGGCCATTTAATGGTTTTTTTCTTTTTCATTTTTTTTTTTTTTTGGTCAAACGATAGATTTGTTAAATTAGATATTGGATTAGGAAAACGACATGGCAACACTCCTATTCACCATTGTGGTAGAGGGCCACTAGCTTCTATGGGAGACAGTAGCAATTTAATTGAACATTAGGGTGAATTACAATCGTAAAAAATAGGTCTACGTATATTTACACCCTTTAGGTTTGGGATGATTTTTAAATTGACGAATGAGGTTTTAACTTTTTCATATACACCCAAGGTTTTAAGATTGTATCAATCTGTGCCTATTGTCTAAACCTTGAGTGTGTAAAATGTAACTAGCCCTAAAAAATGGACAAGGATTGTCTGCCCTCCCATTTTTCATGCCCTTCCATGCCCTCTTGTTTTGTGTGGTCACAGTTAAGTTACGTTAACATTTTATATTTTTTTTATAAAGATAATAAAACAAAAATGAATAGTAATATAAAATGTTGGTGTGGTTTAACAATGACCACACAAACAAGAGATCATGGAAGAGCATGAAAAAAAGAAAGGCAGACAATCCTTGTCCCTAAAAAATAACATCGCGAACAATTTCTGGAGTTATTCAAACCAAAAGACTCATGATTAGAGAATAAGATTAGCAGAACGTTGAATGTGACTATTCTGGGCACTAGTGAACTAGAGCGTAATTCAACCTTCTGTTCTTTTTTCTTTTTTTTTTTGACAAAGAGCTTAATTCAACTTTGATGTACACAACGACAGGACTCAAGGGGGAGTAATCCACCCGCAAGCTACGGTCTGTCTGAACTAACTTGATAGAGTCACTCTCAACATGAATGCTACTGTACTATTTTTCTAATGCCACTCGGACCACTCGGACCCCTTCTCTTGCAACTAAGAACTCTGCGTCAGGGGATGCTACATCAGACAGACAATGTGCATATGTAACCACCAACAAACAGCAAACTTCATCTTGGATAACCATATCAATGCCCCCTCCTCCTGCGTATCTGCAGCTCAAAACGACCCACCAACATTATACCTATGAACAAGAGACAAAGGTGGACTCCAGATTCTTCACGTTTGCCCTCCCATAAGAGAGAATATCGAGCCGCCAAATGGAGTGGAGCAACATCATCTAAACACCCAATCCCTTTAACCCGATAACTGCAACCTTGAGCAACCAATCTTGAATGATAATAACAAGTTAATCATCTGACTTGATCTTAAGAGAATATGATAAAAGGACACCCTTGGCAAACGAACATTTATTGAGCAGATGTAACGCTAACTCCGGAGAGAAACTGAAAAATAAGAAGCTGTTGTCCACCACCACGCCTTTCACCAAATTGGTTAAGGTAGGGAGGATGTCCGAACAAACCTTCCATAAGCAGGCTTTGAATTTACACGAAACTCCCAGGAGACCGACTGCTTCCCATAAAACCGGTAGTCCTTGACGAACGTGAAGAAGCACCATTTAAATTCAAGCCATACGCACTTAAAAGAAAATAAGCATTTTGGGTCAAAATTCCAAATTAATCTTTCAGCAGCCGGACACATACTGAGTGGAAATAAGTGGTAGATCCTATTGAGAGTCAATCCTACATTAATGGGAGACTTTGCAAGGACTTCCTATTAGTTTTGTGATGGAATCTCAACTTGCATCATGGTATCAAAGCAAGTTGTTCCGTGTGTGGAGTCCAACGGCCAAATGTGTTCCACGTTACCCCGTTTGTATTGTTCACGTGTTAAGCATGAAAATTCGCCGCATGAGATTTTAGATGCACTAATTGATTTTCAAGAAAAAAAAGAAAAAAGAAAAAAAAAACACACCATTAAAGTGATTCCTTAAGATGGGCCAACTATTAAAATAGTTCTTTATCTTATTTTGTTTAGTTTACTTATGTTACACTCAGCTCTCAAGATACGCTAGAATTGCCGAATGATGGAATGATGTAGCAGTAAAACAAATACATAAATTAACCAAAAGTCATGCATAAAATACTACAGATATTCAGTGGAATATAATATACAACAACTAATACTTCATAGTCGAACTAGACCTCACAATAATTAAGTAAAAGTAAAAAGTTACAGAAACCCTCCAAGAACTCTAACCCAATACCGTTATACTCGAAGACTTCCTCAACCAACACCACCTAATAACTTGCAAAAGCAAACCCAAACACTATGGCTGGTGAACCAAGTTGGTAGAAAAACGTGAAAATTGTAAAATTCGTGTGAGTGACAATAATAAATTATATGTGATAGTCAATCTGATCATAGTTTTGAAAACATCAGTTCATAAAACTCTTAATCGTCAAACCTCACTCAGAAACTCGATTGACCCACACATGTATTCAATCGTCTCCTTTCTAGATTGACCCACAAGTATTTAGTTCTCTCTTTTATTCATGAAGTGGAAATAATAGAGATAGAGCGATACAGTTTGGCCAAGGGCTACAACTAGTCAAACTCGCATGAATATCACCAACTCTTGTTAACTGGATAAGCAGTGATCGCTCGTAGCGACTTAACATATCACGATCACCGCTTCTACTTAACTAGCTACCCTTTATTCTTTGTGTGGTCATCCAGCAGCTCAATCCTGTTGTTAGAGAAAAGTGATAGTCGACTACTGCAGATTGTCCGAACATGATCATCATGATCACACTACTACCGGTGCAGAAATAGTGATTTTCCATCAAAATTAACCAAGCTTGGTCATAAAAAAAGTAATGACATGGAGAACTTCATATGCAAAGTAGTTTTGTCACATACTATGAGAGTCATTTATCTCGAGTCCAAGCATATACCTTAATTAATATAAAGCATCACACGAACCGAAGCGCGGGCAAGATGATGCGCATGTCAATCGAGACCCCAAATAAACCAAGACAATCAAGCCGAATCTTCAATGCCTAGATAGAACTACGGCCAACCCTGAGAATTTGGGGGCCGTAGGCGAGCTTTCGAAATAGGGTCTTAGAGTTCTCTGACCATTGATCCTTTGTACATTGATATGTATTAAAAATTCATTAAATACATGAAAGTCTATTTCTACATCAAATATATTATAAAGATTAATATCAAAAGAAGAAAGATATATACAAACATTACATAAATATTACATGTCTTGCGTTTTTAGATTCTAATGTACTAATTAAACTTACATAATCTAAATTTTCAACAATTCATTTCTAATTGATAACATAGCTAACCAATTCAATTTTTCTTGATCGAAGATAAGATTCTAAGATTGAGTATTTGAGTGTTTTGTCTATTAGAGAAGGGAACCAATTATAATAAATAAGGGTGATTAGGATATGGCGTTTGTTTGGGGAATGCAACAAAGGCCAAAGAGTTTAGCCGTTTAGGGTTTGGTGTTTGGCAGTCTGAGGAGTGTGACAAAGACGTAAATAGGTTTGTTTTCAAGTGAGTGCAGGTTTGAGTCGCTTGACGTTTCATCTTTCATGTACAAAACAGGTTTATTGGTTTTTATTCAATTAATTAAATAAAACAATTAAAGCTTACAAATGTTGGACTCAGTCGTTTAGCCCAATGAACTAACATTTATAAACAAAGACTTAAGGTATGTAAACTTCTTATTTGAACAAACCCAAGGTTTGTAATATTAAATTATATATATATATATATGTAATAAAATAAAATTTAGGTGCCCCACCACAGTGGGGTCCCTAGGCGACCAGCTACCCTCAGGGACATCCCTTGATAGAAACAATGGTTTACAAAAATTGGCATTAATTCTAATAAATCATAGTAATTTCTAGAATATTTGTTAAATTGTTGCAGTCATAATAGATTAGGAATGTGATTATGTAAATTCTAGTATATCTAGGGATATCTTGAAAGATTTCCTTTAGTAGATATTATCCTATTAGAGTTGTAATCCTATTAGGGTAAGGATTTAACCTATCATACTATTATAAATAAAGGCACAATGGGGTAATACAAAACACTACTCAAAATTACATCTCTCTCATCTCTCTCTCTTGCCACCGGCCCTCTCCCCTCTCTAGCCCTAAATACAGTCCCGTAAATTAGGCATACAACACGTTATCAGCACGCTCTTGCTAGAAGCTAAGGAACTTAAGGATCTTGGAGGAGGCTCTTCTACGCAACCAAAGGCTTAATCATTTTCTGCCAATTAGGTTCTTTTAAAATAAATTAAGAAATTTGAAACGACCTTGAAGCATGAAAACATTCGTCATGACGCATGAACCCCTATATTTATATTTTCCCTTCAATTATATATATTGCATATATTTTCATATATTTTGTTAATATATATATTTGTTCATGCAATACGCAATTATGTTGTGTGGAATTTGTGAGTCAAAGCATCAAAATTAATTTAGAAGCAATTACGGTTTTTAACCCTAGAATTCGAAAAACAAAAAAGAAGAAAAAAAATATAAAATTTTCTGGGATTTTATGGCATGGCTTCCCGCCGTACCACCGCTGGCACCGACGGACATTGGCTGGCCTGCAGCC